CCCATCAAAACTGTTCACTGAATGTATTCAACCGATTCCTTACCCTTTCAGCTTCAATCTTATTACATTTTTACGACTGAGCAATCCTGTTATGCCAGATTTTTCTTTAAATGAAATATACACACTACAAAATACGGCTGATTTCGAGTTGCCGATAATAGAGCAGCTGGTTTACACGCAGTTCAAATGGAAATGGTGCCGAAGAAAAAGAGACTGCCGACAATAGTCACACTCACCTGAGAAGTTTGGAGCGTTGTAAAAACGTGTTCAACCCGTTTTGATCAATTCTGTCGATTGGAATTGATAGAACAGCAAGCAGCAGATAAATGTCAATAAACAAACCCGTCATATATGTGTGTGACGCTGAGAAATTGCTAATAGAAGTCCGGATGCTGCTTAGATTGACGAGAATACGTAAATTCCCCTATGTGGCATTCAATTGTGATTTCTCATCAATAATTCCATGATGAACACTCATGCTAGCCGGCGTCGGTGATGTAGTGGTAAGCGTGACTGCTTTCTCACCCCAATGGGTCTGGGTTCAATCCCAGCCGAGGTCGGTGGGATTTTTCTGAGGCATAAAAATCTCTGGTCACGTCTTCCTTCGGAAGGGAAGTAAAGCCGTTGGTCCCGCCCCATGTATGTGTGTTGAATGGGTGCGATATCCTACGCAGGTGTGGAAGCTGCCTTCCTGCACATTCGATTGCCGTCAATGGATGGTAATCGATGTCCGTCGGTGATTGGCACTAGATTGCGGAACAGAGACCGACGTTAAATAAAGGAAAGAAGAAGAACACTCATGCTCTTACTTACCTTACCAATCAGGCTAAGGCCTTGTTGTCCTCTGCTGTCCGAAGAAGTCGTCTCCACTCTACTCGATCCATGGCCACAGTTCGCCAGCCTCGTAGTCTGCGAAGAGTACGCAGGTCACCTTCTACTTGGTCGATCCACCTTGCCCGCTGCGCGCCTCTTCTTCTTGTTCCTGTTGGGTCGCTTTCTAGAACCATTTTCACTCGGTGGTCGTGCGGCATTCTTACGACGTGCCCAGCCCACCGTAGTCGCCCAATTTTTGCAATGTGGACGATGGATGGTTCTCCCAGCAGCAGGTGCAATTCGTGGTTCATTAACGTTCCGTCATCCATCTGCACTCCACCGTAGATGGTACGCAACACCTTCCGTTCGAAAACACCAAGGGCATGTTGGTCCTCCACGAGCATAGTCCAGGTTTCGTGGCCGTAGAGGACCACCGGTCTTATCAGTGTCTTGTAGACAGTCAACTTCGTGCGGCGGCGAATTTTATTCGACTGGAGCGTCCTCCGGAGTCCAAAGTAGGCACGATTCCCTGCCATAATGCGTCTTTGAATTTCTCTGCTGGTATCATTTTCGGCGGTTAAAGGTGAGCCCAAATACACGAACTCATCGACCACCTCGATTTCGTCACCGTCAATCTGAATACTCATGCTCACAAGCATTTAATTGATAAACGTGAGCAATCAAAGAAGGCATTATCTTTGAACGAAAGTATTCAGTGAGCTTGACATCTCATAGCCTACCCCATCACCGATGATCATCATAGCATACAATTTGACTGATTTTAGCTCATGAGCTGAGCATTGTCAACATCTGGTCAGGATCATAGATATAAGACATCAATATATTTGCTACCTTAAGTTACCTAGTGAACCAATTGAGAACTATTTTCAATGCCATCTGAAGAGTCTTACTCAACTGAATAGCTTTATTGCAAGCGGTGATTTGTAACTTTTCCATGACATCAAAGACATGAACCATCTATTTTGTTTCAATATTAAAATATTAAAAGTACACTGGGGTCGCTTTTTACGCGGGGGATACGTTCCGCGTAAAAAAACCGCGTAAAATCTAAAATCCGCGTAAAAAACAGTGTAAATTCTAAAATCCGCATAAAAAAATCGCGTGAATTCTGAAATCCGCTAAAATTACAAAAAAAAATATTTCTTTTAAGTGTAAAAACTCATGTTGTCTCACGTATCTTCAGCATATAAGATATGTTAGTGTGTTTTTCTACCATTTTTACAAAGAAGCTTCTTAAAAACCCGATCGAGATTGGAAAATATCTGTGTGAATATGCGCGCGTAAGCCAACAGAGGGTTAGCCTGACTTGACTAAAAGTTTTTTTTTGTCGGATTGTCGTGATGAACTAGCCTTCGGTTAAAAAACAAATTAATAATGCAAAAATAAATGTCTTCTGAAATAAATACAGCTTGAACCACATTGACTTACATTAAACATTCTGATATCATTTGCAGGCATCAAAATTATACCTATCCATTATTTAAAATCCAATCTATCATTGGATATTATCCCTATCCCTATCCGGATAATTTTAAAACGGATAATAACCGAGTTCAAATTATCCGGATACCCATCAATATGACTATCTTTGGAACCGGGATGATGTCCAGAGGCCGGAAATTGATATCTGACGACATTTTGAAATCCAACATGGCGGCTTCCGGTTTCAGAAGAAATGGCAAATAACCTACAATATGGGTATTTTCGGAACTTGGACGACGTGTAGATGCCCAAAATAGATGTCTGACGCCATTTTAGAATCCAATATGGCGACCAGTGGTTCAGAATAAGTGTCAAATACTCTACAATATGGGTATTTTCGGAATGCGGACGACCGGTAGATGCCGAAAATTGGTACTGATTGAAATACTGACATATACCCATAAATATGGGTATTTTAGAATCGGAGTGATGTTTGGAGGCCAGAAATTGATATCTGACGCCATTTTAAAGTCCAAGGCTTTCAGCTTCATAAGAAGTGTCCAATATCATACAATATAGGTATTTTCGGAACGGGGACGATGTGTAGACGACGAAACTTGATGTCCGACGCCATTTTGGAATTCAGGGAGTGCAACTATATCGTGTAATACTTTACAATTTTTCTAAAACAGATGGCCACCATCTTGAATTCCAAAATGGCTTCGGACATCGACTTTCGGCCTTCATACGTTGCCCCCTTACCGAAAATACCCATATTTTAGGTATTTCACAGGATTTTATAAACTAATGGCCACAATTTGGATTCCAATTAGGCGTCGGACATCGATTTTTCGCCTCTAGACGTCGTCCCCGTTCTAAAAATACCCATATTGCAGATTTTCTGAACCCGATGGTCACCATCTTGGATTCCAAAATGGTGTCGAACATCAATTTTCGGCAGCTACCGGTCGTCCCCATTCCGAAAATACCCATATTGTAGAGTATTTGGCACTTATTGTGAACCATTGACCGCCATATTGGGTTCCGAAATGGCGTCAGACATCTATTTTTGGCATCTACACGACGTCCCCATTCCCAAAATACCCATATTATAGGGTATTTGACACTTCTTCTGAAACCGGACGCCACCATCTTGGATTTCAAAATGGCGTCGGATATCAACTTTAGGCCTCTTGACATCACCCGAATGCAAAAATACCCATATTGATAAAAATAATCGATGTAAATTTACGCGGTTTTTTTTACGTGTATTCCGAAATCCACGTAAAAAAATCCGCTTAAAAAGCGACTCCAGTGTACCATTCTATTTATAGCATCTATCGTAGTTTCAGGACGCTCTGTAGATATTTTTTTTTTATTAATTAATTTATTTGTACAGGCTCAATCGAATAAACTTTACAGAGCCAAGTTATCATTTGCGTTATACATAATTGAACTGAACCGATTACTCGCGGTCATCTCGAGGTTAGTAGAGATTTCCAGTTTTATGGATGGGGAGAGGGAGGAGGAGCTCTGTGGATATGACTAGTAATGAAAACAAAATGATTCAACTTATCAATGTTTTTGTGAAAAAATAGCGTGCACTGATCCGTAAAATGGCCGATTTTAAGGCAAAGTGAAGTGGAATACGATAAAGTGGCACGAAACTTTTTGGGTTTATCCAGCACTTGATAATCCGATTTCTTGCTATCATTTAAATTTGCTGCATTAACATTGACGGAAGTGTAATAATAAAAATCACATTTAACGCAAATAACAGTACATTCACAATATCAGATTTCTTAAAATTCTAAGGTAGTATTGATCTTCTTAAGAATTCTTTTCATGTTTATAATCATTTCGCAATTGGAGATTTCTCCGGCTTTCAGATATCCGCTTAGCCTTCCCTCGAAAAATGTAATTTTTGTCAAAGACATCTTTAGCTAGAATATTTTAAAATCTTTTGTTAGTTTGAATTTTGCTAATACTATACATACTTCGACAAACCTCACACAACGACGCTGATTGCAACGTTTTCTTATTATGCGATTGGTCATAGTGCTCTCTAAAATCATCGTACATGTCGAAAGAAACCTGAAAAACATTTCCGTTAAGATTGGTTACATTGTAACACACTTGATCACTTACTCCACAGCACTCGACAGTTTTATCCTTAGAATCCCTTTTTGGTAACGTACTAAATTTCTGCAAAAGTTTCACAAGTTTCTCCCGAAGATTACACAACGTGTACAAAAATAAGATACGGTACAGTTCTTTGTGCAGAACAATGGAATCATATTCGGTTAGAAAACCTTTCGTCTCTTTGACAAGCTTGTTAAGCTGGAAAAAGATTGCATAAGCGAGTGAGTTGATAGACAGGAAGAAAATGTAACAATACCATATCATATTGAGCAGGGCTCGGAGGTTGTTCCGCGACCATTTTCTCGAATGAACTTGACACTCTCGTAAGCTGCGAAAAACTAACGAATGATTTCGTTTTTCAATTGCTTCCGCATCGAGTGCCAACTTCGGAGGTTTAGTAAATCCGAAACACGATCATCCTTTGTAACAAGCTTGCTGGTGACTTAACGATCTTTTGTTTACCGTAAACCATACTTTGTTTTGTTATTGAGAAAATGGAATTCATAGAAATAGAGATTAAATTTAAATAGCATTTTCATACTTCCGGATTTATTGTTTACTGAATTAACTATCGCCACTAAATCAAAACAAAAACTGAAAAGCCTAGTTCCTGACAACCCACTTGATTGATCAAGCAAATCGGCATAATAATAACGTATATTCATTCGAATCGGATATAAAAATAGCGACAGATCGGCTTTCACATCCGATCGTACGATAGCGACTAGAACCTTTCAACGATCTAGGCAGTTTAGATTTGCAGTTCAGTTCAAGATGTTGACTATGAAAGACTTTTTTCTGCGACCCTCCTTCGAGTCAACCCAGGAAGCTCAAGAATGGGAAAAGGTATAGTAATCTGAAAGTGTCAATCAAGCTTCCTAACCTTCTCCGATTTTTCTTTCCTAAAGCTTCAAAAAACCGTTCAACACACAAAACAGTTCAACGCAGATTTTGACCACATAGTCCTGCACAAAGATCTATTTGGAACATTTTTCTATTACTATCTGCAAGAGATTCGCCTGAGAATAATTCAAATTTTGTCCGAATTTACAAAAGTGGAATGGCGTGAAGCAAAACCGCTGCATGAACCGGACCCATTCGGAGGATTTGGAGCTCCGGCGAAAAAGAAGGAATCCCAAGAGGTGAAAGAAATCCACATCCCAGAATATGGGATCCTCGTAAAAGGCTACAAGGAGAAGCTACCCCTAGATTGCTGTGGACAACAGTTCAAAACGTTAAACATGCTCCGGATGCATTACCATGCCGAACACGAGAAGCATTATTTGTTTGAAGCAAACACGTGCGAGGTTAGTAGAACGAACGGTTGCACGCGAAAGCAAGCGAGCGGTGTCGTCGGTCGTACGTCGATCGGGGGCAAACAATTACGATGCGATCATTTTATCGTGAAAATTTCCTTTTATTGTTCTATTTTTAGATGAAAGCATCGATTCTGAAGATGTGTGTCTATCGACATGAACTAGACGAGTTCGTTCGAAGCGGGATCAAGTGCAACAGTTCGTTGGGTTTCTATTTGCTGAAAATTCTGAGGAAAATTATTCCGATCATACGATATTGATGCAATTATCAAACTAGCTTAACAAAGAGGGAGAATTGAAGATTTTATTATTTTAAATCTTAATAATTTAAATGTCAATAAGGAAACTCTTTAAGGATTAATACTCTTATTTCAGATGAATTCGTTAGCCTGGTTAATAAAAATTAATTTACTTTAACGTATTCAATAAAATAATCGAGCTTTTATTAAATATTTGCACGCAAAGAACACACCAGTTCCAGTCCATTAATGCATGAATACATAAGAAGATAACCAATAAATTATACTAGCGGCGCCGGTGGTGTAGTGGTAAGCGTGATTACCTCTCACCCCAGCAGCCGCAACGAAATTCGTTAAATTTTGGCATAGTTGTTGGGCACTTCAATACAAATCGAAAGAACACTGGGAAGCAAGGGGTTGTGATCCACCATACAAACTAGACAAGTTTTATTGGCTATATTATAATATGTTTGCCATTCTGTGTACCGTACAAGAGATTAGGTGTGTTTCCGCAACCCAATTTGTGTGAGTTTACTGCTCAGCAATTTTAAGTTCTCAGTGCAAAAAGCTGGAGTAAAAAAAAAAATATTCCGATTATTTTTAGAAATTGATAAAAAAAAAAATTTCTTCATGATTTTATATCTAAATTGTTTCTATACTGAAATAAATTGTACTCTACACGCTAAAACAGATAACGCAAATGTAGGTATAGTTTACCTAGATTGGGATTAAAACAGACAAACTCAAAATATGGATAAATGTTATCGGTATTATTAACGGATATTCTGTGGAATTTTTTTACGGGCATTACTGAGCTTTTCCTGTTATTTTTCAGATTAATTTTATATATAATTTTAGATTTTCTAACTTATCTTATACATTTATTTTGTAATTTTTTTATAAACAGAAGAAGTATTAATCATAGTTTGTGCACGCTATGATAAACAACTTGGATCTTTCCGTGCTTAATTGTTCCAGCTCAAGCACTTGCAAACTGTTTGTTTTGATTTTCAGTTTTAACAACTTGCTTTCACAAGCCGTTCACAGAAGTTCATTGAAAAATCTCTAATTTCTGGTAATTTAACGTCTATTACAGATTTGTTCGTAAGAGTATTACAAATTGTGCTGTGTTTTTCGAATTTCACAGATATTATAATGAAAATTTCTCACCTTTAACCGAACATTTTGTAATTTGCATTCCTCAGATCGACTTCGGTGATTTTTTTTTATGTCCGTAAAAAAAATTCTTAGGCTCCTGGCAGAGTGAAAGCTGGTGACCGAGCGGATAAAAAATTTGATTAATAATTGTTATTCCTTTTGCTGGTCTGCTCGGTCGCCATATTTCACTCTGCCAGGCACCTAAGGGTGAGGAACTTGTCGAAGACTCCAGTCTTCCATAATGCTTTATTAAAAATTTAGCAACAGCGCCGCTCTAGCGGCAGACTTTGAACTAATATTATGTCACCCAATGACGGCGTAAAGCTATATGATGTACTTTCATGGTTCATGGTTCATAGTACTATTGAATTTTCAGCACCTTCAACTGATTCCGATTACCCACTCGGGTCGAGCTCTTCCTATTCAGGATCCTCTCTTTCTACGATGCCTCCTATTTGCCCATATTCTTCACCTCAATGGCGACCTGGTAAAGGAGGTTTAGTATCATCAAGTAGCCTGTTTTGTAGGTTGGACAGTTGCATTTATGGTAGGCTTCATTCAGATAGGATGATTTTGTGAGAGTTAAAAACACACAATACATACATACAGTTCCCTGACTTTTTATACAAACATTAGGTAACGCGAAAACTAAACTAACCACACAATCTCGTCAAACTGCTACTTTGAACTGTTACAGTACATATTCCGAAGAATCATTAATTTACATTGTCAACAACGGCGCTGACCACGTTCGTCGATCATCGGGGAAGGGAAGGTTTGTTAGTTCGACATGCGTTGCTACTATATAGTGACCGAATACACCACTGCATCTCCACGGCTGTCATGGGAAGGACGTTTTTGCTAGTAGGAAGGGTAATAAGATCTTGATCATGACTTTGATGCGTTTATTTAAAGTTCGTTGGAACCATACCAATTCAGTAATTTAAGGGGGCCTGGGATACAGGGATGCTCAGTAGACAAAAACGGTTGCCACTAGGCAATCAAGGCCCCCACAGCAAACCACTACGACCGGTACAAACATCTTGATCGGTGATAACGACCACTGGCGTGCACAGGGTGGGGCAAGGTGGGGGCAATTGTCCCCTCTTTAATAAATAAGATTTTTATTTTCAAATTTTCAAAATTAGAATATAAAATAAATGATTTCTTGATAACTTGATTTGAAGGTAAAATAACTTCATTTCATAATATAAGGGCACTGAAAACCTTTTAATGCGTCAATTCCTTTGAGATGGTGCCTGAAAATTGCACCACAAAGGTGCGTGAAGGGACAGGTTTAAATTACATTTATTGGTCAAAAAATTGCACCTCAGTGGTGCATACAAAAAATCTTGGTGTTATTTTTTGGAGGGTTAAAAGAAGAGGGTAAGTTTAAGGATGAAAAAATTTACCTTCGTGGTTATAAATCGAATCAAAAGTTTTTTACTGAATATTTCTGGTGTAAAAATATCATCAAGGTGGTGGTGCATGGAGGGACTAATCAAAATGAATAACTGTGGTGGAAAAAATTGAATCACGCTAAAAATTTGGAGGTGCACATTTGACTAAAAATTTCTGTGGTGAATGTATAAGCGAAGTTTATTCATTTTTCTGGTACGTAATTTGCATCGTTCTGATGAATGCAAGCTTAATTGAAAATTTATGGTGGAAAACCTGCACTATTCTGGTGCATGAAGAGTCAAAGCCTAAAAATTACACCACAAAATTGCATGATGATACAAACTTCACTGAAAATTTTTGGTGCACCGTTCTGGTGAATGGAGGACCATGATTTATTGAAAAAATTTGGTGAAAAATTTGCATCGCTTTGATAAATGAAATGAACAGAAAATTTCTGGTGGAAAACTTGCACTGATATGGAAAATGAAGGTACAAGTTTTATTTAAAATGAAGCTTTATTGAAAATTTCCGGTGGAAAATCTGCACCGTTCTGGTGAACGGATGGGCAAGCTTTTCGGAAAATTTTTGGCTTTAAAATTGCTTCCCTCTGCTGAATAGAGAAACAAATTTTAATAATTATTTCTGGTGTAAAATTTGTACCATTCGGATGATTGGAGGGAAGCTGCTTTACTGAAAATTTATAATGAAAAATCCGAAAATAGGGGCATTGGTGGAAAACCTTCAGCATTCTGATGATGGGAGAAGCCAGCTATATTGAAAATGTCTGATAGAAAATAGAAAAAGGAAATCTGAACGAATCAGAAGATTGGAGAAGCAATTTTTATTAACGGTGGAAAATTTACTCCCTTCTGGTCAATTTAAATATTCTGGTCTAAAATTACCTGAGGGCAAGTTTGTATTGAACATTTCTGGTGTAAGATTTGCAACAATCTGCTGCATGGAGGGGCAAGCTGAATTGAAAATTCCTGATGTAAAAATTGCACAGTTCTGGTGAATGTAGGAACAAGCTTTAGTGAACATTTCTGGTTGAAAAAAAAATACAACGTTTTGGTAAATGGACGGGCAACTTAAACTTTACTTCCGAGAAGAACCTCAAAGGTATTGAATTCTGATGACTGTTCCAAAAGAATAGATTTCTGGGGATGATTCCATGAATATTCTGCGAATAATTTCTAGTGAATCCTGCAGATAGTTCTAAGATAATTCCGAAAAGAATACCGAGAAAATTAAATTTTGATTGAAATTCCAAAGGGATGTTGAGGAAAATTTCAAGCTCATTCTGGGAAGAATTTCTGGAGAATACAGAGGAAATTATTCTGACACTCTAAGGGAATTTCAGTTCCAAGGTGTTCTGAGTAAAAGTCAAGAAGCATTCTTAAAATAATTCCAGAGGACTTCTGAGAAGAATTTCAATAGAGCTCATAGAGTTCTAAAATTTCGAAAAAACCCTCAAGGAATTCTGAGGATGGAATTGCCCCTCCTTAAAAACATTCCTGTGCACGCTAGTGCTCGCCTAGCAATGAATATATGATCATCTGTTGATCTACTTCTTGTAAATGCTGCTTGATGGAACCCTGGATCTCCTGTGAATATTCGAAGCTTGTTACCTATCCATTTAGCATATACTTTATAAGCCACATTACAAAGAGATATTCTACGAAAATGATCGGCTTCTGAAGCTCCTGCCTTTTTTGGAATGGGAATTTGCGTCGATTTGTTCCAGTCTTTGGGCATTATGTTTTCTACATATACCAACTTCATAATTTCAACTAGCTCTTCTATCGTGCTCTGATCTGCATTTTTAAGATATTCTAAATAAACTCGGTCTGGCCCTGGCGTTTTTCCATTACTAGAAGTATTGATTATAAATCTAATTTCATCTAGGTAGGAGGGTTTGGTAACGGAACGTAATCGTGTTCATTACAAAAATCTATTTCTGGCCTTGACAATCCTTCAAAATATTATCCCATACTCGTGTACTAATTTTTGATGCCTTGTTGTTCTTCTGTTTTCTGTATTTTTTTTGAATACCTGTGGTCTTTATGTATATACAGGGTGTTTGGTTCCGGGTTTTACATATTTTCAGGGTAGATAGGGCTCCTAAAGTTATGAAAAAATCCCCATGAAACATAGGGTCGGAAATGACTGCTAAGTGAGTTATTCAACATTTTATGTTTTTTTGTATTGCCAACTTTTTTTTTTTTTTTTTTAATTACTTTATTTGTACAGGCTCAATCGAATAAACTTTACAGATCCGAGTTATCATTTTTGTTATACATTATTGATTTCTTATATTTAAAGTTAAAGGAGCTGGACCGGATACTCGCGGTTGTCTCGAGGTTAGTGGGGATTTACAATTTTTTTTGGATGGGAAAAGGGAGAGGGAGGTTTGAAATGTGGTTTACGATACAAATATTTAATTAATCCTAAAACATGAACTAATTTCTATTCATCTTGAAAACAAACATAAAAAAAACCCACACGTACAAAATACAAACTAAACACAAGGTTAATAAAACTTACAATCTAATGTTAATATTCTTAAA